GTTGATTTTCCGTTGAGTTTCCTGGGATGGGGCAACTATGCCACCGCCGAGAGGTACAGGGAGCCGTGCTCGGAATCACCTTGAGATGCCTTATCAGGGAGAGGCTATTAGGGATGGGGCAACTATGCCACCGCCAAGAGGTACAGGGAGCCGTGCTCGGAATCACCTTGAGATGCCTTATCAGGGAGAGGCTATTAGGGATGGGGCAACTATGCCACTGCCAAGAGGTACAGGGAGCCGTGCTCGGAATCACCTTGAGATGCCTTATCAGGGAGAGGCTATTAGGGATGGGGCAACTATGCCACTGCCAACAGGTACAGGGAGCCGTGCTCGGAATCACCTTGAGATGCCTTATCAGGGAGAGGCTATTAGGGATGGGGCAACTATGCCACCGCCAAGAGGTACAGGGAGCCGTGCTCGGAATCACCTTGAGATGCCTTATCAGGGAGAGGCTATTAGGGATGGGGCAACTATGCCACCGCCAAGAGGTACAGGGAGCCGTGCTCGGAATCACCTTGAGATGCCTTATCAGGGAGAGGCTATTAGGGATGGGGCAACTATGCCACCGCCAAGAGGTACAGGGAGCCGTGCTCGGAATCACCTTGAGATGCCTTATCAGGGAGAGGCTATTAGGGATGGGGCAACTATGCCACCCCCAGGATTTTTTTTGTTTTTCCTCGATTTTCCTCTCACGGAGTCGTTCAGTGACCGGACGAAAACCCGTTATAGCAGTGTGGAAATATATATTTGATTCCATTAATTCAGCTTGATAGGAGCTGACACTGATAAGGAGCTTGACACTAGTATCCTACCAACACCCGAGGCTTATAGAGCTCAGATGAGAGAGGTAGTAGTAGTACACCATGGATGGCGATGGTGTACTATCACTCTTCAGATGGAGATTGAGCGTCAACAGGCCATGGAGGTGTCTGAGGCGGTGGTGAGATGCCCAGTGGTGAGGACAGCAGTAGTAGCAATCTACTCTACGATATGGTACTCCCAGTCTGAGGAGGTCCTGGTTAGTCTTATTAGGTTATAAGACCGTGATGTTATAATTGATTATTTTTCGATGTATTTGGTGTAGCATGAGCTGGCCCATGGTGTACCATAGGACACCCATCGTATCATTACACTATTCTTTATAGACGTTGTGTTGGTAGTGCTAGTCACAGGACCACTAGTTGAGGCAGCTCCGTTCAGCGAACATTAAATTCCAAGCAGCCGCTATCGTTGCACCAACAGTAGGAGGTGACAAGCAGACCGGTACACCGCTAACACGAGACAACCACAATCTATAATGGCAACCCTTTGGTCAGAACAACAGTTTGTGAGCATCTTACTTGCCACCCTCAAACCCCTGCCGCTTACATTCTCTGTATAGTCCAATTTGAGGTCAGTGAGAAACGAATCGACGTTTCAATATACACCCTCGTCGCCGCGTGTTACTATCATGCTGCTCAACAACTGTCAGTCAAGTGATACGAACCATCCGGAAGTAAATTAAGAAAGATAACGACGTTTCACTGTACACCCTCGTCGCCACTTGTTACTATCATGCTGCTCA